GGCCATAATCAATAATAACGTTTCCTCCAGTGAAAAAGTCCATCCGCTATTGTCTTCTCACAGATTTCTTTAGAACTGTTTTGGACTGTTTTTGCTTGATCTGTGCATATTTCTCTCCTGATTCAGACAGAATGAAGCAATATTATGGATAAAGGATTTCTTGTTTCTAACGAACACAGCTTTTTGCTTCACAGGACATTAATTAATGGACTGGAGTTGTGTGGATTTACTTGTGGATTATTGTGATGTCTCTCATTCTGACGGCACCCATTCACTGCAGAGGATCCTTTGGTGACTAAGTGATGTAATGGTACATTTCTCCAAATCTGTTCTGATGAAGAACAAACTCATCCACATCTTGGATGGCCTGAAGGTGAATACATTTTCAGCATTTTTTTTTTTTTTGGGTACACTATTCCTTTAAAGGGATAGTTCACTCATGTCAGTCCAAACCTGCATGACTCTCTTTCTTCTGTTGAACATAAAAGAAGATTATTCTGTAGAATGTTGGTAACCAAACAGTTTCTGTTCCCATTAACTTTCATTATATGGCCAATAGAACAATGGAAATGAATGGGAACTGAAACGGTTTAGTTACTAACATTCTTCAGAATATCTTATTTTAAGTTCCACAGAAGAATGAGTAACAGAACTTTAATTTTTGGGTGGATTATCCCTTGAATTGATTTAGCGGATATCAAATAAGCAATTATTTACACAGAATTTACAAGTCAACTAAGTTAAACTATCTGGCAACCGACTCACTTTCCAAAGAATCCTCTCCCATTTGGTTGTTCCTTCAGCCACTTCCACAGAGGGTGTGCGGAGTCGCCATTCACATCAATCTTACTGAACATATCAAACTCTGCGTTGTAAGACTTGGCAAATTCCTTGATTTGGGAATTTGTTCCTGGTTCCTGAACAAAAAATGTATTATTAGATCACAGTATTTATTCGTTTTAAGAGCATTAAAAATGTTTCTGCTCCCCGTACCTGACGTCCAAACTGGTTGGATGGGAAGGCCAGGATGTGTAAACCTCTCTCAGCGTACTTGGCGTGCATTTCTGCAAACTGAGAGTAGTTTACCGGGGTTTTGCCTCACTTTGAGGCAACATTAGTGATGATGACAACTTTCCCCCTGAAATATACAATCAATTAGATTTTGTTAAAATTGATTGACACTAAAGCAACGATGTGTCATCCAATCATACAGACTGAGGATTCTGTAACACACTACCAGACTCATGCAGAAGCACGTGCCTCGTTGTGACATACTAAGTCATAGTTATGAGATTAAATGTAGACATTATGACTTACTAATAATTATGCTTATAAGTCAAAATTCTGAGATAAAGCCATAATCATGACAAAAATGTGAAACTATGACATACTAAGTCAATTATGAGGGGAAAAATTATGATAGTGAATCCTAATCGAGAAAAAAAAATCTAAATGATTAAATACTAAGTCATTATTATGAGATAAAAAGACAAAATTGAGACATAATTCTGATATATATATATATATATATATATATGGTTAAAAGTATGAGACAAAACGATAATTATGATAAGTAAAAAATGTCAATTATGACTTCAATTATTATTATTGTCTCATAATCTTGACTTTTTGTCACATTTGATGTTTTATTGCAATAGTTTAACATAATTTCAGTTTTTCAAATATCGTATTTATGACTTTTTATTAGTGCTGTCAAATCGATGAATCGTGATAAATCGCATCCAAAATAAAAGTTTGTGTTTACATAATGTGTGTGTAGTGTATATTTATATGTACAGTATATATAAATACACACATACATGTATACATTTAAGAAATATATGTAATATATAATTTATATTTATGAATAATATAAATAATATAAATATGAATGTATATATATATATAAATACACACATGCAAATATTTCTTAAATATATGCATGTATATATACATATAAATATACACAGTACACACACACATATTATGCGATTAGCGATTAATCGATTTGACAGCACTACTTTTTATATCACAATTCAACTTTTTATGCCATAAATATGACTAAGTATGTCATAATTTCTCATAATTATGATTCACCAAAGTTGTTGTGGAAACGGGCTTCCATAGAAATCTGCAGACGGGCTCAGACTTTTGTCAACTAGCATTGACTGCTCTAGACTGCTACTACACTGTAATGTTTTTCATACTTGAACAAACAGACTTTATACCTTGAGGTGAAATAAAAAGCAATTGTGCTGCTGGCATGCTGATTTCCATCACTCACCTGTATTTTTCCAGGGAAACTTCATTGCCGTCTATATCCGTGGCAGTGAATTCATAAATGGATTTGGCCGACTGCCAGTCTTCTAGCTGTGCAGACTAAAAACAAAAACATGCTGGTGTAAGCAAATAGGATACATCTGAATACATATACACATGTAAAGAAAAAGGAACACTGTTAGTAACACCTTCAAAGAAATATTAGATTCAAATCTCTATATTTAAATTCCAACCGCAACTGAAAAACTGGTAAGCTATTAACACATTTTAAAATAATGGGCTTTTAAGAGCATTTCTTACCATTGTCTGCAACACTATGGAGAAAACGACAGCGGGCCCTAAGAAACGCATGACTGCCTTTCAGTACTAACTACTGAAATGGCAGGCAGCGTATTAGATCAAATTCTCTTAAAGTGCACAAATCTCCAGAACACTGAAAGCCCCTCAAATATAGGGCTCCAAATAAATATTAACTTGACAAAGAGGCTGTTTCCTCCTTATAGGTTGATTTTTATTTGACCGTAACTCCTACTGAGGTCAAAGGTCACTGGGTGACGATCTTACACAACCGAGAAAACTGATAGCTTGATGTGCGTGTTGGCACTTTGTCCACATACCAGAAAAGTCGCTGATGTTTGCATTATATACAGTAAATTATACTGCTTCTAAAGTGTACTAGAATAGTTAACACATGATATTTCACGTGGATATTGATTAGTCATTGACTTCAGGAATGGATTCATGCCACAAAGATATTATGGAATGAAAGGCTAATAATAAATATATAATAGGGTAATAATAAATAAAACAATGTTTGACTAATTGCAATAAAATAGTCATGAATATATTAACATCACCAAAAAAGTACTATGAAACTATGACATTCTACGTCATAATTCTGAGGAAAATAATTTAATTAATTCATTAAATTATGAGATATTAAGTCATAACTATGAGATAAAGTCATAATTATGACAGAAAAATGTCAAACTACGAGATACTAAGTCATATTTATGAGATAAAAACCATAATTATGAGATAAAAATGTCAAACTATGACATACTAAGTTATAATTATGAAGGAAAAAGTAAAAATTATGAGATAAAGCCATAATCATGGCATAGAAGTTTGAAATTGAGATAATTTTGAAGAAATTGAGATGATAATGTCATAAGACTAAAGACAAGTCATTAGTTTTTTTTTATTGTCATAATTATAACAAATTTTTTAATTCATATGACTTGGTACATCATAATTTTGACTTTGGTCATAATTGTGACTTGTATCATAATTTGACTTTTGACATCATAATTTCAACTTTTTGCCATTAATATGACTTAGTATGTTATAATTTCGACTTTATGGTCATAATTAGCTGTCTTGGTAGGTATGTTTTTTGGCATTTGTTCATGGCATTTTTTGGACACTAACCAAGGTTATGTAATTTTCTGGACATGATGTTCTTTTAGGTAACATGTAATGTAATAGTATTTCAAAATACCATAAATATTACAATTTGATACATGATACTTTTGTAAAATATACGTAATGGATACAAAAATATAAAATGATCCAATACATGTTTCAAATAAAAAACTGTCTTTTACTAAGCTGATCTTATGAAACCAAGTTTCTTCTAATGTATGCCAAAAAATAGATACAATTTGTTATTACATTAGATTATTATTGTTGTTGTTGCGCATTATTTATACAACGGAAAAAAGTGAACTGATACTGTTGTGGAAGAATGAGACACAAAGACAAAAGACCTAAATACACTGAAACTAGACCTCTCATCTTGCACAATAGGACTCATTGTGTAAACTGATGATAAAACATTTGCAAAACCCCCGTAATTATGCAGCACATAACCTCATAATTGCCAAATTACGTAATATGATTCAGATATGCAAGTTTAAGTTACAGAAGTAGGCCTATTCAACTTTACGATACCATTGCACCAATGATCCCACTGCTTGATAAAGCCCCGAACAGCAAGAAACAATGAATAAAAGCCATGTTTTGATCTTTTCGCTTTCCAACGTCCAGTAGTGATGACTCTTCAATGAATCGTTCTTTTGAGTCGATTCTTCTCTATGAATCAGTTAACAGAACGGTTCATGAAGTGGATCTCGAGTAAACACCTGACTGATTGAACCGGTTTTTGCTAACAGTATGATTCGTAATCAGCCGAACGGGAACACATGAAATTACAATAAACTCCGCTAAATTAATAAAACGTAATTAATCAAACCCCATAATAACAGCAATATGTGTCTTCGTGCTATATTTGAAGGTTTTAGAGCATGTAATATGCTCTAAATATTAGTATGATAGAAACGACAAAGGAATCACTGAATCATTTTATGAATCGATTCTTTGATACGAACTGTTCGAAAGAACCGATTTGCTGAAATCACACACGCACTTCCCACATGACATTGCAGATAATCGGACCTTTTTCTAGAATGTTATACAACCTCTTCCCATTCCTTATTTGTTTTCAAACGAAATCAACACCAAAATAATATATAAGATTTATTTTGTATATAACTTACAAACCACCTATTTTAAAATTGCATTTATTTTAACTTTTATCAACATAACACATTGTATTGCTTGAAAGCGAAAAGTAAAAGCTTATATATTTACAACAACAAAAAAACAAAACTAAAAAAAAAACTAAACTGCGTATTGTTTTGTACATACGAAATCAAAGTGCGCTTTGTGGCGTAACGTCTGACGTCATAGACACGCGTCGGCAGAAACGGGACACAAACGTGGAGTAAAAGGATCGAATAAGCGTGATAGTTTTGTGTTAATCCTCTTTTGGGCGCGATATGGATGACGAGGAAGAGACTTACAGACTATGGAAAATTAGAAAAACTATAATGCAGGTAAATGAAAGAATGAAAGCCGTATAACTTTAGTGTTATCCATGTTGCGTAGACAGATTATTGTGATGCTTATTCGGATCCTCTGGAGTTTCATGATTTGTGATCTCCCAAAATACAGCACGCATCCAAATAACAGAAATACGTTACGTCCTTATAATCTCTAACTACGTCTTTCAGCTTTGTCACGATCGTGGTTATTTGGTGACGCAAGATGAACTGGATCAGACTCTCGAGGAGTTCAGAAGCCAGTTTGGAGACAAGCCCAGTGAAGGTCGACCACGACGAACCGATCTCACGGTCCTGGTCGCACACAACGACGATCCGACCGACCAGATGTTTGTGTTCTTCCCTGGTGTGTGGAATCTTCAGCAACAGCCTTGTTCCTGAGTGTTTAACTCATCCATAAACCCACTGTTGAGGAACGATGGATTTATTTTGAACGGTTGTATCATATCTAACCGTTATTTTGCTTTCAGAGGAACCAAAGGTTGGCATCAAAACCATAAAGATGTATTGCCAGCGTATGCAAGAAGAAAACATCACCCGGGCCATCATTGTAGTCCAGATGGGCATGACGCCCTCCGCCAAACAGGTGACGCGAGCACATACACTTACCTTTAGATGTCAATTAACTATTAAGGCATTTAAATAATGTGTCTGGTCTCTCAAATTTCAGTCTCTGGTAGACATGGCACCGAAGTACATTTGCTCATCTGCAATACATCTACAGGACGTTTCCTATCAGATGTCCTAGACATTTAGAAAACGTCTTTAAGATGTTTGATTTAGAATGTATGTAAAACTGATGTCTATCAGATGTTTGTACACAGCAAATGCTTTCCAGATGAAGTGATCTTTAAAGGGGTCAGCTTTTTCAGATCGATGAGCTTTGTAAAAATCGACGCGTTTCAGAAAGGCGGGGCATAGAGGAGAAACAATAATGTACAGTATGTGGAAAATAATGTGTTTTTTTAACCTTAAACCGCATAAACATTTCATTACACCAAATACACCAAATAATGTTCTTTTTAGCAGCATCATATGACCCCTTTAACAGACATCTTGCAGATGTACGTGTGCTATCTGGGTATATTAGCATTCATACCAACTGACAATAAGAGCACAGCTTTTTAAAGTCAGGTTGATTCTGAATGATTGGCTGTCAGTGTTTTCATCGTTCCTCAGGTGTAGTCCGTTCACCGCATCAATTGCACCCCCCTAAGAACGGCCCTGTTTGTGAGAATATATGGTAGTCCACATTACAACTATAATTAGGAACAATATGGTTCATATTACTTTAAGAACGATGTTTTCAACTGTTGAACGATAAAACATTGACAGCCAATCAGAATCCACCTGGGGTGTATTCCAGAAAGCAAGGTTGGCTTACCGTCACACATACCCTGAACTCTCGGTTGATTAACCCAAACCTTGCTTACTTGAGGTATGTTGGTTCCAAAAACGCATCCGGGAGTAAGTTCAATCAACTCAACGGCTAATTCTCAACAGAGCGATGGATCAGCGAGTCACCATGGAAACCAATGCGAAGAAAAAGCACTGCTTCTTTCATTTACATACATACTGCATATTGCCACCTAATTGATGGTTGTGCAATCATTTTTCAAAAAAAATTGTTTAATCTTTTAATCACTGAGAATAAGAATTATATAGTTTGTTTGATGCATTTTCTAAAATGTGATATTTCTTATTATATAATTAGCATGATGTGTGATGACAAAATATAATACATAGAATAAATAAACATAACACTTGTTATAATAGTGTTTTATAATTAATATACATCGATAACTATTATATATGACAAAAATATAACATTAGAATAATATTACTATTATTATACAGTATATTACTTATAATAGTGCTTCATAATTAACATACTATATATATATATACATACTATATACATACTATATATATATATATATATATAGTATATTTGATAATTATACTGTAATATATAATATTGTTCAGAGAATAAGTTGCTATAGACCTGAAAGTTACCGCCGTTTTTGGAACCGAAAGCTGAGTTTATCCACTTACCCTTAAACAGACCGGGGTGTGTCACATAACCTGCTTTCTGGAATACCCCGATTTTAAAGAGCTTGAGCATTTAAAGAGAAAGACGAAAGAACTGAAGTGCTCTCTTATAATAACATTATGGTGTGGATGTTATAGATATCTTTATAGTCATTGTTCTTAGTGTGAACAGGCGTTTAAGGCTTTTTAGATTTTTAACGACTCATTTGGCCTTTTACAGAATTTACAAAATGCTAATTTTACACATTGATGTTATTTACACAATAATAATAATAATAATAATAATAATAATGTGTTTTCATTTCTTTCAGCTTGTTCCAGAGCACATAGTCATGACTAAAGAGGAAGTGACAGAGTTGCTGGCACGGTAGTATCCTTTGAGTTTCGGTTGAAATTTATAGCGGTGCTATTTTAGTATCAATGATATATTATAGTTTTTATTCATATTTTGAGTGTTTTTTACATTTTTTTTTAGTCAAGTTAAATGAAAATGAGGAAATAAGAAATGTTGCCTTGGCAACTAAATATTTTATTTCAGTTGAAGGGATAGTTCACTCAAAAATGAAAGTGTCACCATTTACTGACCCTCAAGTCGTTCCAAACCTGTACGAGTTTCTTTCTTCTGTTGAACACAAAAGATGATATTGGTAACCAAACAGTTGACGGTAGCAGTTCCATATTATGGAAGTCAATAGCTACGTTTATTTTATGTAGCAAATCTTTTTTTATTATGGTTTTAGTTAACTATAATAACCCTGGTTTATTGGATTCAGTTGGATGGTTTACTGTAGAAGTATCTCTAGTATCTCTTAACCAGCTCCTCTCCAGTAAACTAAAGGAAAGCCAGCTTCCCAGAATTCAAGCTGGGGATCCTGTTGCCCGTTACTTCGGCTTGAAGAGAGGCCAGGTAGGAACTTGAATGTGCATCTTCATCTCAGTGTTTGAAATGAATAACTTGTGGCATGTTTTGCAGGTTGTTAAGATCATCAGACCGAGTGAAACTGCTGGACGGTACATCACATACAGACTGGTCCAGTGATGCTGATCAAGTCAGTATTTCTGTTGTAGTTAACTGGAGTGTTTGGTTAACGCTTACAAACTGCATATTGATTAAATATGCAAATCCATTTTGATGTTATTCAGCTTATTCCCTGTCATTAATACCTCAGAATTTGTATCAGTATTGATCATCTAAATTCAATTTGCAAATCTGTGATGCAGTGTTATTTTAGTATCATTACTATACTGTCTTTAGTGTTTTTGTTTTAAATGAGTTCTTATACGTTCCATTTTGAAGAATTTATAATTTTGGTGTTTGTCTTTAAATGACTGAAATAATTGAAAATCTGTTAATTTTTCATATTTTTAGTTTTAATTAACACCCAATTAATTTTTCCGTTTTTGTTTGACAGGTTTGAAGTTTTCTCCAACTGCTGAAAGTGAACATGGTCTGAATTGTCTTTTTTAAAGTTTTTCCTTTTTTTAAACTAATAAATATGATTCTGTTAGTCTGGCTCTCGTGTCATTTCATTTAACAGCTTGGTTTATTAAAAACCATGTTAGTTTGGTCTCAAATGAACACAAGCCTCAAAACCTAAAAGTAGAGAGATCAAGCACTCACCTTTTTCTTTCTGAAAGCCATTGTTGTATGGGAGAGGAAATAAAGAGAAGCGGACAGAGATAAGTGCAAATATACACAGCAACAAGCAAATATATTCTACTTAACCTCTTCCTCATTGGCTACCATGCTGTCTGATAACTTCTGTGTAACCATGACGTCCAGTTAGTGTGCATTGTTTTTAAATAATACTGATTATTTTGAAATCACTCATATTTTATTATTAAAAGACAAGCACAAACATATAAAATTTAACAACAGATTTTCATCAACACTGAGTGCAAGGTGATCTCATAAGATACAATGCATGATGACACCGGAAGCGTACAACTGTTATCGTAAAATAAAGCTAAAAACATTTTTTTTAAATCTAAGTTTTTGCAGGATTCCAAGCCGAAGTATTTTAAATATTAAAACGCATCTTTAAAAAATATATTGGAACATCACAGAAGAACCCTGGCTGAACTCAAAGAGTGAGTGTTGTGGTGGTGCTGTTACTCTGATTGATGTTTAGTGCTGCCAGCGAGCTTGTTGGCGCTGCTTCTGGTTCATCTAACTCGGGCGGCACACTCGCAGGGAGGGCAGGCGGGTTGCTGCTGTTGTTTGAGCTGGAGGGACACTGCAGGTTCACGAGAAGGATGGGCAGCCTCATTTGTGTTTCGGTGGTAGAGTCCAGTGCCTGGTCTGTAGGACTGGGGGGCTGAAGTTCACCTCTGCCCCGTTCCTCGTCTGCATCTGAATCGGAGTCCAGACTGTGTTCCAGAGAACCAGGGGTTCCTGGTGAACTCTCTGCTGAGACATGACAAAACATGATTTATTTTTCTT